ACTTTTAACGTTGGGCATGTACAACCGTACCCCAATATCAAATGGAAGTAGTATATATATGATTGGCCTGAAATAGGCTCAAGTAATTTACATAAGGAAGTGACCCAAATGCCCATGGTCCCCACTCCTGCCATTACCTTCTCCCTACTAGTCAACACTATGGTCTCCTGAGGAGTTCCCTGCAATCAATTGACTGAGGAAACAAGATTTCAGAATGGTTTACAGATGGTATTGCATGATATGCCAATACCACCTGAATGTAAAGAGAGATTGCACTAGAGCCCCTTTCTCATATATATCTGAAGGATAGTGCTAAAGAGAAGTCTTCCTAGCGGACTCAACTTTGAGCAGTGAAACTGGGTGTTCATTTTACTTGAAAGGAGAAATGGCCAGAGGTATAAGACTATATTGACTCATGGGCTGTGGTCAACAGTTTGGAGATGGGCATCAACTTAAAAGGAACATGATTGAAAAATTGGTGACAAGGATAGCTGAGAAGAGGTATGTAGATAGACATCTCTAAATGGACATAGAACCTAACATTCATGTCCCGTGTAAATGCTCACCAAAAGATGACCTCAGCAGAGGATAATTTTAATAATCAAATGGGTAGAATGACCCATTCTGTGGATACTGTGCTTCTTTCCCCAGCCACTGCTGTCTTTGACTGGTGGGCTTGTGAACGGTGGCTGTGAGGAGGGATGAAGTTTACGCATGGGCTCAGTAACATGAACTTCCACTCAACAGGGAAGTTGGAGATGGACCAACCTGACTTCAGCCACTGCTGAGTGCCCAATCTGCCAGCAGCAGAGACCAACACTGAACCTCCAGTATGGTATCATTCCCTGGGTGATTAACCAAGCTACCTGGTGACAGCTTGATTATATGAGACTGCTTCTATCTTGGAAAAAGTGCTGCTTTGTTATTACTGGAATTATACACTTACTGTGGATATAAATTTACTCTCCCTCATGTAAAGTTTCTGTTGTAACTACCTCTATGAATTTACATAATACTTAATCCATGCTTATGGTAATCCACACAGCATGCCTTCTGATCAAGGAGCTTACTTCACAGCAAATGAAGTACAGAAACTCTCATTCACTGATCTTACCATGTTCTCCATCATCCTGAGTTAGACGGCATAATAGAAAACAGAGGAATGGCCTTTGAAGACTCAGTCATAGTGCCAAGTAGGTAGCAGTATTTTGCTTGGCTCTGGAAATATCCTCTAGGCGGCTGTACATGTTCTAAATCTAAAAATGATGTAAATGACGAGTTAATGGGTGCAGCACACCAACATGGCGCATGTATACATACGTAACAAACCTGCATGTTGTGTACATGTACCCTAGAACTTAAAGTATAATTTTAAAAATCTAAAAATGTATATGCTTAATATGTGGTGCTTGATCTCCTATTGCCAGGATTCATGAATCCAACAATCAAGGGGTGGAAACGAGAGTGACATCAATAACTATTACGATTAGCAATCCACTAGAGAAAAATTGCTTCATGTCCCCACAACCTTATGCTTTGCTGGTGGAGAGGTCTTAGTTTCAAAGGGAGGTGTGCTTCCACTAGAAGACAAAAGGATTCCACTGAACTGGGAATTAAGGCTGCCGCCACTCACTCTGAGCTCCCCAGACCTCTGAATCAACAGGCAAAGGAAGAAATTACTATGTTGTTTGGAGTGGTGAATCCTGATTACCAAGGGGAAATTGGGCTATACCACGCAATGGAGGTAAGGATGAGCATGTCTGAAACACAGGAGATCCCTTAGGGCATCTCTTATTACTACCACATTCTGTGAAGAAAACCAATAGAAAACCACAATATTTCAATTCAGGCAGGACTGCTAATGGCCCAGCCCCTTCAGGAATGAAGGTTTGGGTCACCCCGCCAGGCTAAGAACCATAACCAGCTGAGGTGCCTGCTTAAGAGCAGAGAATTATGAAATGGGTAACAGAAGAAGGGAATCATAAATACCAGCATTGACCATTTATGACATGGCCAGTTGTAGAAGCAAGGACAGTAATTTTTAAGTATCCCTTATTTTGTTAGAAATGTGTGTGCACATATATTTAAGATTTTTGCTTTCTTTCCCTCTTTTAAGTGATTATGATCTAACATAAAATATATTAATAATAGCTAACTTTACATTACAATGTTTAAGTTACAGAATGTCAAGGAGAACAGTGAATGACATTGAATCCTCTTGTAGGGAAAGGGTTACCATGTTTTGGGTTGGAAAACATGCTTCAGGATAGCTGTATCGCATTAGGTGGAAAAGTAACTTTGCTATGTTCTTTATTTTGAGATTAAATATGGTTTCAGGAAATGTGCCTGAGTCTAAAGCTGACAAAGTATGGACTGTGATGTGGTGATCATCTTCATGCGTCAACCTGACTAGGCTGTAGTCCCCAGTTAATCAATCAGACACTCATCTAGGTGTTTCTGTGAAGGAATTTTATAAATGTGACTAATATCTGCAATCAATTGACTTTAAGTGAGGAAGATTATCCTCAATATCTCAGTGGTCCAGATTCAATCATCTGAAAGGGACTAAGAGCAGAACTGAGGTTTTCCTGAGGAAAAATAAATTCTACCTGTGGACTGAAGCTTAAACTCTTGCCCCAGAGTTTCCACCCTACCCTTTTGCCAGTGTATAGAATCTTTAAGCCCATTCCTTGCAATGAGTTTCTTAATGTATATCTCCTAGTGGTTCTGTTTCTCTGTTTCTCCTCTGTTTCTCTGGTGGAAGCCTGACGGATACAATTGCATATAGCTAGTGAGGGCATGTAAAAGTGGAACATACTAAAATGACTTTCAGTAAGAAAAATTCCATTAAAAAAAAGAAAGCTTTGTCATTCATCCTGATTCCCAAGGGTGTACTAGAAATACAGTATTTCTATGAAGAAGGCGTAAATTGAGATACAAAACTAAAACCCAGCATAATAAACTACTTGCCCCAAAGTCACACAGGTGAGAATTTGAAGCTAGGTTTTACGGCAGAAACATTTGTTTTATTTTAATTGCTTAAATTAACTTCTATTTAATAAATGAATGCATTGTTTCTCTAGACAAGATTCACCATTGTAAAGAAAATCTAATGTAAAGAAAATCTAATAAAAAGAAACATGGATTTTTTTCCTCTATAGAAAATAGTACTTGGAAAAACAACAATAGCACTTTGAAACTTCATAGTAACTTAGATTTTTTAAAAGTGGACATCAACTAGAGATTTAATTTCAAAATGTAAAGCATGAGAATGCTTGGATTTTGTTTTAAGGGTTTCGTTTTTCTTTGATTACAAATATATGGGTACACATAAAGTCTAAGATCAATAATAGAAGGTTGTTAAATGCTAAGACTCAAGCAAAAGAGTCAATGTTCAATTTTTTCTTAGTTCTTAGAAGTGAAGTCCCTGGTTTGACGTAGGGCATTCCCAAATAATGTAACTGGGGCTGATATTCCCCCAAATAATGATTGTCATGGAAAAAGGCAGTTAACACTCATATTATAGTAAGGAAATTAATTTCAGCAACTTCCACATACTTTTCTCTTCTATTACAAGCAAGCTTCAGTCAAAAACAAAGACCTACTTCCTAATTCTTTCATTTTATACTTTCTTCTTAGATAGATAACCTCTTCCTAAGGATAAATCTAAGCAGAATAAGGAATAATAACCCCTCCATATTGCATGTTTCACTTCACCTAGGCCCCATGTAAGCAGTTTCAACTGCAGGAAGTTAAGTCTCATCTGAAGGTTACGACAGCCTTTGGAAAAAAAAAAAAAGGCAAGGCTGATTGTATCAAAGTTACTTTTTAATCTCCTCATCAGTAATAAAGTAAAGCACAATTTTGTATTAACACACTTGAGTTTTTCAGTTTTCAAAAGGTGACAGTCACATGAGTCTGCACTAAGGAATATGGAAGTCAGCATCTTTAAAGACCTTCCTGGCTTCCAGCTCCAGTATCCTTCCAATCCATATAACCCCCAAAGCTGAGGATATCACAAGTATCCTTTAACCTGTGGCTCCACATAACAGAGTCTCTGCTTTAATGCCCTATGTAGTTCACTACTCCCTCCAAGATTGGCCTCTGTGCTAGTCTATCCAGGTTTCCCAGGGCCTGTATTTCAGGCCCCAGCCTCAGCCCCAATCCATGGGATCCACAGTCTGTGAACAGATCTATCTGTTTATCTGCCTGGATATTGTCTGCTTCCAGATTCTGTGTCACCACAGCCCACCCACCTGCTGGGACACCATCTGCTGCACCTTGCTGGTCCTAGTGGACTCCGACCCCCTATCTGCCAGGACCACCTCCTGTTGACATCATTATTCTCTCCAGATAATGAGCCTACTAGCTCGGCTGGACTTTCTCCCATCAGTGGAATCAAGTTCCAATTCCAATGACCTCTTTCACACTGGAGACCATGCCCTGTCATTAAAAAACAAACTAACCCTATCCTCTACCACCAATTCTTATACTGACAATGTTACACTACTCTTTGTCCTATAAAATATTCCAACTTAACAGGTTTCAAGCATAATTAAAACAGATTGTGGATTATTTAAGAAAGAGTTATGTGTGTATGATAACTGTAAAAGATAGAAGTCATGTAACAACCTGTACTAAAGAAAAGTGATAAACAGCAGAATATTTTCACTGGCAATATAGAACTGAAAAGCAATAATCAAATTCAGCTTTCCAAACAGTCTGCCATCTAATAACACAGTTATAAAGACAAAAGTTGAAAAATAAAATAAATGACATTAACCCTTTAGCAGGTAAACAAAATGTGTACCTAATGCAGAAACAAGTCCCAAACCCAGTTATAGGAACTGTCACAGTCCATACAACTCTAAGATATATGAATATTTTGCTTAATTTTTAAAGCAGTCCTTTATTTCTGCAAATATGCCTTGATTTAAAACAAATGACAAAAAAATCATCAGTATTAGCTGTATAATCATTAATACTCCACATAGAAACAATGTTTTCATCAGTCTAATAATTTCAAGATGTATTGAAAGCAAAAGCAAGAAACACTTAAAATGATACAATTCTCAGACTCAAAGTACTGTTTGTAGACATCAGATCTGATGAGTTCACATCACATTAAAATGTTATTAAACAATTAACTGTACAGGCAATATTCCAAGTACTTTACAAATATCAACTGCTTTAATCTTCTTAATAACCCTGGGGGAGAGGCACTAATATTAATACCATTTACAAATGAAAACACAGAGACAGAGAGATTAAGTAATTTACCAGCAGTCACACAGCTAATAATAAATGACTAAAGTAAGACTCAAATTCAGCAGTCAATGGTTTGATCCCCTGCACTTTGCAGCATCCCTGAATGACTTCTGAGGCTCCTGCAGCCAGAAAGGGGCAAAACAAGGTATAGAATAGAGATTTGACTTCCATTGTCTCGTGTTCTTTCCATAAAATTTTCTGGTCAGTTCAAATGTTCACATAGTGTTAAAAAGACTAAGAAATTCTATGTGGTGGGCTGGTCAATTGTCACAAGCAAAAGCAGCAAAAGAAATATAAAGTATTTCTGAAATCACAACTTTATGTGATATGATTAAACTATGATATACATTTAAATACTGACAACAGAATTCACAAACTAACACATAGAATAATTTTAAGCTCATTTTGGGTTAACCCCTTGCAGTCAGCTCACAAGATATGAAAAAACAATATAACCACAACCCAAATTAAACCAAAGAAGAGCTTTCACTGATATAAAGCATTGTTTTTTATTAAGCCGCACTACAGCAACCATACCCACACAAGAAGAACTGACGTATACTAAAGGCTTTAAACAATAATTAGCAATGAAAATATTCACGATGTCTTCCAGCAATTTAAAGATACATCTTCTAAGACAAACAAACAATAATAATCAGTGTATGTGCAGCTTTTAAATAGTGATTTTATCTTTATGAAAGTTATAACCTCAAACTTTTAATGTGTTTTTAAAAAAGCATACATTTACACTTCCCTTCCAATGAAATTTGATTTTTTTAATGACTATAGTTAAAATTTCTATGCTATTTACAAGGTAGGATAATAGTTTGACATTAAGTTAATAGAAAATATTATGTGTTCTCAAGCATCTGTAAATCAGAATATTATAGGCTGAACATATTTGTAGAGAATTCAAATTACCATTATTTTATTAAGAACATTAGGTGAAACTTGAAACTTAACACATGATAGATCTTTACTTGTAATGTATCACTTAATTTATAATGAGTATTTTAGCAATTACGTTTTTATTTCCAGCAGGTAGTCAAGAATACTGATTTTAGTGACATTGGTGGTAGAGTGGTGATCATAGCTGCCTTCTAAGAGTGCTGATTTTATTTATCTTATACATGTGTAAAACGTTTTGGAGAAACAACAACAAATTTGAAGTGAGTAAAACTTACTAGTTAACACCGGGTTACATAGCTGGTTAATGGCAGTCCTTGAAATACCTAGCTCAAATCTCAAAATCAAACAATTGAATGAGGAAGAAATAGAAAGCTCTCTACTCCTTTGTTCTGTTTCTTATGCTGCTTCTTACATTTAGAAAACAGTAGAGAACTAAGATAATGCATTCTTAGAGCTGCCTCATTAGAAAAATAAAAAAGCTTTGCCTTGCCTTCAAAATGGCTGGTAACAGCATAGCTTTAATTTATTCATTTTTCCTAATGCTTGCTCTCTCCCCTACCAGGTATACCTAAACACTGCCTCTTTTTTAAAAAAATTAAAAATCTGCAATCCTTTTAATCCTAGGAGCTATACTAGTTTAGAAGTTTAAAATAAAGATGTAATAAGGAATTTGGTGTCCTAACACCATGAATCATAGTGATACAATAGCAATATAATCTTTACTATGAAGAATACCTGAGACCAAGCCTAGGTGAAGGATATTACAGGTCTATATCGAACATGCAAGTTTCAAGCTATGGTTTAATTAGTGAGTCAATTTTCTGTCTCCAGTACATTGGCACACCCAAACCTTAAAGATATGTCACACTCATTCACTAGCCGGAAATCAAGACAATTGTGGGACAAAACTAAGCTGACAGTAACTAGAAAAGAGATGATGTCTGATCATCAGTGACACCTGATTTTCCAGACCAGATTCTCCTACCTAAGGGGACAAATGGGACAGAGTGAGAAGAGGGAGCAAATAGCTTTACCTGGTATGTGAGATAGCAAGCGCAAGGAAACAATGATAGATTAAAACTATACTCTTGGCCGGGCGCAGCAGCTCACGCCTGTAATCCCAGCACTTTGGGAGGCCGAGGCGGGCGGATCACAAGATCAGAAGATCGAGACCATCCTGGCTAACACGGTGAAACTGCGTCTCTACTAAAAATACAAAAAAAATTAGCCAGGCATGGTGGCGGGCGCCTGTAGTCCCAGCTACTTGGGAGGCTGAGGCAGGAAAATAGCGTGAACCCGGGAGGTGGAGTTTGCAGTGAGCCGAGATCGTGCCACTGCACTCCAGCCTGGGCAACAGAGTGAGACTCTGTCTCAAAACAAACAAACAAACAAACAAACAAGCCTATACTCTTACCAGCCATTGTGAAAGCAAAGTATCAGACTTCATTTTTCTAATGAGGTGGCTCTAAGAATGCATTATCTTAGCTCTCTGTGTGTTTTCTAAACATAAACACCATAATAACAAACAATGAACTAGAAAAGCTTTCTATCTCTTGCCCCATGCAATATTTTGATTTTGAGATTTGGGCTGGATATTTCAAGGATGGTCATTAACTAGCTATGTAACCCAGCGTTAAAAGAACAACTTTAGACAAAATAAATTTAACAGCTTATTTAAGCAAATAATGAATAATGAATCAGACAGCACTCAAAACTGTCACAGAGTTCTGCTCTAGCAGCCTAAGCAGTGGGCTTTTACAGTCTGAACATGGAAATAAAGTGAAAAATTACTTGATTCACTATAGTTATGCATTTCCCTTATTTGTGTACGGTTCAATGGGAGGTCTCTTGTTATATAACCAATCAGCTATCTGGGTGTCTGTGATTGGCTGAAGCTCAATTCAAAATTCATCAGTAACAGCTAGGTGGCTCAGACCTCTAATCCCAGCACTTTGGGAGGCTGAGGTGGGCGGATCATCTGAGGTCAGGAGTTTGAGACTAGCCTGGCCAACATGGTGAAACCCGGTGTCTACTAAAAATAAAAAAGTAGCCGGGTGTGATGGCATGGGCCTGTAGTCCCAGCTACTCAGGAGGCTGAGGCAGGAGACTCACTTGAACCCAGGCAGTGGAGGTTACAGTGAGGTGAGATTGTGCCATTGCACTCCATCCTGGGCGACAGAGTGAGACTCTATCTCCAAAAAAAAAAAAAATATATATATATATATATATCTCTCTATATATCTATCTATATATCTATCTATATATTTTTATATATATCAGTAATGACAGGGAATGCCTCGAAGTTAACTTTTGGTGTGGCTTGTATAAGCGCTCTGGAAACAGAAACAACCCTACATGAGTGGCCTGCTGGTTATTTGGCTTTGACACCAGAAAGTCACATCACCTCTCATAGCTTTGTTTTCTTCATACACAGTCTGATCCTTCACTGTGGTTTGCCTGGGAAACCATATTTTCCCCACTTCCCATCCATTTTAGCTTTTGCCATTTTCAAAAGTTTCCAGTGTTGGTAATATATAAAGCCATAAATTAGAATGATGTTTTCTTCTAACTTTTCTGGCAATAACGTTCTGCTATCCATGGGCCCAATTTAGGAGTAGGGAAGACCACTAGATGTGAATAGCAAATGAAGTGTTTCATTTACCAAGTGAAATATAAATTTCACAGGGAGAACAGAGTTAGAACTATATATATATCTGTATATATTTCAAAAACAATGTTTTGAAAAGAAGTGTGATATTATTTTTGTAAGTTGAAAAACACAGATCAAGACTAAATATTGGAATGGTAGTATAAATAGATGAGTGAAAATATAAAATAGACTGAAACAATGCACACTAATTCATAGGAGTTTCTGAGAGGAGACTTAACTGTTGCATTTTATTTCTTTATAAAGGAGGCTTTAAGCAGACATTATAAAATAAAATGACTCAATTCTGGGAGGTGGGAAATTGATTTTATTCTTTGTTCTTCATTATTTAAATGTCTCATTATTTGAATTCATATTCGTATAATATGAATTACATGAACAAAAAACAGAACACAGACTATGAAAACAAAGAGAAGGTGAAACTAATCAAAGATAGGCCTGGAAAAGTGAGGCCAGAGTATTGAAATATTTATTTATTTAAATATTCATATTGCAGCTGGTAAGCATGTGAGAAGTGAACCGCAGTCCATTGAGTTAATGCTCTCACAGGCAATCACTAACTGCTTTATGTGTCTCATGTTGGCATAATCTCAATGTAGTTCACCACCTGAGTCCTTTTGAACTTTTTACTGGCTAGTTCTAATTATGGAACAGTTGATACTAACAACATGATTGAAAAATAGAAATTGATTACAACACAGATACTTAGAACTAAACCCTAGCAACTTTCAAACTCATCCAACTTGCATGAGCAGGCTCTCTTTGAACATGTAACACAACGTGTTGTCCAAGATCTCCTTTGATATGACAAACTGAAGTTGACAGTACAAGTCTCTTAGAATAATACAAAGTAGAAATTGAGCTAAAAAAATCTTTCCAGCAACTAAGAATAGGTAAATAAGGAAATGGTAACAAAGTAGAACAATTGTCTTGGCAGCTTTTCTAATGTTGTATATGTTTAGTATTTCTCACTGTACATTTTAGAAACATTTTGTTTTTATGAATCCCAAATAAGAAGAGAGGAACTTTTAAAAAATTTTTTTATTTATATATTTATATTGCGAGACGGAGTCTCGCTCTGTCTCCCAGGCTGGAGAGCAGTGGCGCGATCTCGGCTCACTGCAAGCTCCGCCTCCCGGGTTCACGACATTCTCCCGCCTCAGCCTCCCGAGTAGCTGGGACTACAGGTGCCCACCGCCACGCCTGGCTAATTTTTTGTATTTTTAGTAGAGACGGTTTCACCATGTTAGCCAGGATGGTCTCGATTTCCTGACCTCGTGATTCGCCCACCTCGACCTCCCAAAGTGCTGGGATTACAGGAGTGAGCCACCGCGCCCGGCCAAAGAGAGGAACTTGTTACCTTAGTGGGTGTCATTTTAACCTTCTGGATTGTTTAAGGGAGTCCAAGTGTTTCCCAAGATGACATTCTAGTTCCCATGTATTGAGTACCAGATATTGAGTGCCCACTATATAGCAACCATTTTGAATTAGTTCATTTACACTCATTTTTTTCTCTTCTCACCACAGTCCTGTGACTTGTAC